ATATAGTAGTAATACCACACCGGCTATATTAATATATTTAATTAAAATTATTTATTTTAATTTTTAATTATATAAAAATAGTTTATTTATATAATCAAATTATATAATTATACAGACTGTAGCTATTATTTTTATAGTAAAACTAATTTTATTAAAATTTTATATATTTTAATTAAAAATATTATATTTTTTTATAGTTTTAATATAATTAAATTATTTGATTAAAAGCTTCGAATTTTTGTATTTCGTATATTAAATATAATATTTCTAAGAGAATTAATTTTTTAAAATTAAAATATATTTAATAAAGTTATATATTTATTTTTTATCTATAAAAGTAGTAAAATTTAAATTATATTTTTAAAAAAGAATTATTATAATATTCTATATATATAACGGTTAAAGATAAAGCTCTTATTTTATAAATAAAAAAATCTAATATTTTAAAACTTTTTTTTAAAATAAATTAATTTTATAAAATTAGTATATTTATTTAATTTTGCTTTAATTCTTTACAGGCGTTTTTATAGAATTAAATACAAAATCTTAAATATATATACTGCTTCTATTATAAGAAGAATTTTATTTTTTTAAATAATTTTAATAATAAGACAGATTCGGTTCTTTTAATCTATCAAAGATTTTAATAATTAAAGTATTTTTGGTAGAGTTGTTGGTAGTTGAATTGCTTTATATTAAAAAAACGCGAGACTGACGCGCGCAGATGGCGGGTGGCTTATTATGGCGGGTGGCTTACCGATTATGTTAACGTAATCGGACACCGAGCCGGCGCGACACCGAGCCGGCGGCGGTCTGCCGCCGCCTCGCTGACTGCCTCGCTGGCCGCTTCCTAAGGCTATTCAACCACCAAGAAAAGGCTATATACATCAATTCTTATTGTTTTCATGAGGGCATTTTAAACGATTGTGTCCTTCACTTCCACATATACTGCAGCGGGCTGGCCGGCGTGCCCTGGCCGGCCTCGGTGCTGCGGCCTGAATTGCTTCATTTTCTCGCATCTGAGCTATATCAAAGCCCTCTTGGCCTGTCAAAGTGCCTCCCTGCTGTATATAACGACGTGAGGCCTTTCCCTTTCCTTTTTTACTCGCTTGTATAGATTGGAACTGCTTAACTTATTGTTGAAGCAGGACTGCGTTCTGCATAGACTGTTCCGCAGCCTTAATCACCTTTTCAATAACTTTGTGTGAAACCATTGACGCCAGGCCTTGATCTGCAAGTTCTTGTATTTCTTGTCTCTGCCTTCCAAGTTCATATAAATTTGCAGGCGTTTTTCCAAGATAGAAAGACTGATTAGAATGCGAGGATGTTGGTGGAGTTGGTGTTTTTAATTGAATCCGTAGCGTTGAAAGCACCTTTTGAGAATTTAAAGGAACGAGACCGGTAGCACGGAATCCACTGAGTATATTAATATTAAAGAAGGCCTTGGCGTGGACGCTGTGATATAACTGTAAGAAATCAAGCTTGGTAATTGATTCCTCGCCATAACAAATAGCCTCAGATACACGCTGGCCATATAACTTTTTCAATGGCCCAAAGCAAGCGACGTCAAGTGGCTGCAGTTTATGGGACGAGTGGGCAGGCATGTATAAAGGAATAATTTTTCGCGCTGTACAGAACTGATCAAACTGCTGAGTTGCATGACTGCCATGACCGTCAAGAATCAACATACAATACTCGCCAACAGTTTTTAAAGCCGTATACCGGTCAAACACGTTCTGAAGCCAGTCAAAACCAAGCTCATTGGTAGTCCAGCCATTCTCGCTGACACTCAGATGATACGATCTTGGGCAGACTTCGTACCATATCGATTGATGATTCTGCGCTGCAAAGATAATCTGCGGTGGCAGGACTGTTCCTGAGGCTGATATTGCAACAATTAAAGTCACCCATTCGCGGTTTCCTGGCTGTATACACTTCGCACGCGATTCTCGTATTTCCGAGCCACAGATTACACGAGCGGTTGAAGCAACTCCCATCTGAAATCCAGTCTCATCCATATTCCATATATCTTCATCAAGAATGCCATATCTTTGGACTGTATTACGAACGAGGTCGAACCATCTCCGAATAAGATAAGGATCCTCGCATTTAGCACGTTGATAATCATACTTTGACGTGAATTTAGACGTCAGTTCCGGATGACGTTTGATATAGCGAGTAATCCAACATTCTGATATAGCACCGTGTTGATTTGGCTTCAACTTTGCTTAATATAGTAGCTGGGCGGAGAATCGAGCATCGCAGATTTTAAGAGGCAGTCCACGGTGGGCCATATCAAGAAGCCACTGCTTTAACGTATTTTCCTCAATTGTAGATAGCTTTCTACCATTAGCATCTTTTTCCGTACGTGATTTGATGCCATTTAAACGATCTTTAAAAGTGCTTATCTTGACGTCAAACGCGGCAGCGCAGGCGGCCTTTGTAGAGAACTTCCCACTCTCAAAGGCTTTGACGGCGAGATTTAAACGTTCATTTATATCGGCCATATTGATATACGAAAAGAAACACCGAAGAAATCACGATATATCGCGAATAGGGCAATTTGGAAGAGTTCTTCGACTTCAAGATGTTGAGGGTGCAAGACGCGGCGCGGCCGGCGCCGGCTCGGTGTCGCGCCGGCTCGGTGTCCGATTACGTTAATGTTTGTTATCTTACCTAATTGACTGACTTATAAGTACATGCATAGCCAATTGAACCAATCAGAACAATGCCAGGACTTTAAGAGTTAAGTTACTGGTCCAGAGGCTGCGTGTCGGCTAGGGCTCTGGGCATCTAGTACTTACCAACCGCCTTTCTCCAACGCAATACTCTCTTGGTCTCCGGGATCAACTCCGCCGTGTTTTGTCTACTCATGAAAAAGGAATGGGCGGTAGACGGAATGCCGTCAACACAGATGAACAGAGACTATCCACGGGTCCACCCCAGCCTCAACCGGCAAGCATCAGATGTCGACCTCCTCACAACCAACCCACGGGAAATGGAAACTCAAAAGTGTATGGTTAGTAGCGACAACGGGAAGTATGGAGGGTCTGGAGGAGCGGAATCCGAAGACTTGCGCAGCGCTGGGAGTGGCTTGGCCACTTCAGCGCTACTGAGATGGTCGAACTTGACGTTGACGTTTGCCCTGATATTCGGTGGTTGCTGTGTCAACGTGAGTTGATTCCAAGACAGGAAAGTACTCTTACTGATATCTGAACTAAAGGTCTTCGCTCTCGAGGCAATTATCAAGTAAGTTGATTGGTGTACTCGGCTGCATAGAAGAATGATATACTGACCTCCCAACCTGCTAGAGAACAGCCTAGCTCCGGTAAATAATGATTGCTCTCCCACTGTTGATATGCCAACTCGCTTCTGTACTGATGATTTTCGAGGTCCCCTGATAACGCTCGCCCAATTCCTCCTGACTGCAATCGTCACCGTTCCGGATTTCATTTCTCCGACTACCGGGTTTCGCTCCTTGTACCTTAGACCGCGTGCCATCCCTCTAAGATCCTGGGTTGTCTATACAGCTTTCTTCATCAGCGTCAACCTCTTAAACAACTGGGCATTCGCGTACAAGATATCCGTTCCCCTACATATCATCCTTAGGTCGGGAGGCCCTGTGGCGTCCATGGTCATAGGTTACATATTCAATGCTAAGCGGTACACACGGGGTCAGATGCTTTCTGTGATCATGCTTACATTGGGCGTCGTTGCTGCTGCACTGGCAGATGCCAGAGCGAAAGGTCAATCAGTCAACGTTCAAGGCGCATCGACTGTGTCAGCAATGACAGGATTTACAGTTCTTGCTGTAGCAATGGTCCTGTCTGCCTTCCAGGGAATCTACGCTGATCGACTTTACGAGTTATATGGCCGGAACCACTGGAAAGAGGCTCTCTTCTATTCTCATGTACTCTCACTGCCTCTCTTTTTGCCCACTTATCCGCAAGTCGCCATTGAGTGGCGAGCGTTATTCTTTTCACATGCGTCAAATGGAGCAGTTCTATCTCGGAATTCTACAACAACAAAGGGGCACTGCAGTTCACCATGTATAGCATCGATTGCCAGCAAAATTGTCCAGCTTTCAGTACTGAAACTAGATTCAGACCCTTTGCAATCGATTCTCGCAGCAATACCAACCCGCCTGATGTACCTTGTGTTAAATGCATTGACTCAATATATGTGCATTCGTGGGGTACATCTTTTGTCTGCAAAAACGTCTTCGCTAACCGTCACTGTCGTTCTGAACATTCGCAAACTCGCCTCACTCTTGTTGTCTATATATATTTTCGGAAATTCTCTCACGCCAGGAGTCATTGTCGGTGCCCTATTGGTATTTCTCGGTGGTGCCTTATATGGCTATGAAGGGGCACGTGGCAGAAAGTCACATTTGAAGAAAGATTAAACTCAAATCTAATATGTCTGATGAGTTCATTGCCTAGATATCACTAGGCTCTTTTGTCCTCTTGCAATATTCAAATCTGCTGTATTGCATCTTCGATGCAATTCTACACAATCTGATGTACCTGCAAAATGAATTTGATAGTATTAAGGAGTCTATTCTGTTAGGGCTGACTTGACTAGACTTTGTGAGTGCAAAACATTCTTAGTATACAATACAACAGTGCCACGGTATTGTTTTCTCCTAGAGAATGGCTAGCGATTTCAGATAGTGAATACCGTAAAAGAAATGTCGTCAAATGCTTCTGAATGGCCTGCGGCTGACCTTGCTGGATCAAATGTTCTACAAGACCTCACCCACAATTTTCGCTGCCTCCTTGTATGTATCGAGAAGTTTTTCACACTTTTCTCTCTCCGCTTTGATTCCATCATCCTCGTATAGAAGTTCCCCAAACAGATCTTCCTTATAGAGCTCGCTAACAAGCCTATTCTGCACAACATCTTTGCTGTGATTGACCAGCAGATGCATGATGGCCTTGGGCACCTGGTCCGCGATCGTTTCCCTGACAATGTTAAAGTATGAAGAGATCAATCGGCGGATCAATTCTGTTTCCAGAATCTCACGTTCAGACAAAGAGGAATCGGAATCATCCTTTGGCTAAGTTTTCTTGGTTAGCTGTTATTCTTGCAAGATGAAGATACCAAATAGTCGACTCACAGAAATACCGACGTCACTGAATTGTTCCACAGTGGTAATATGATCGTCGGGCGGCATGATCGGAGACCGCAGATCTGCCCGCCGCAAACCATGGCTGACACTGGCCTCATGGGGGCTTGGAATCTGTCTATTTGTGTTTGATACCTGCGGTAGGGAGGTGACTGGGTGCACGCCGTCCTTGCCAAAAAAGTAATTTAAGAATGAATCACGGGTAGTGTTCGTTGCTCCAAACGTGGCCGAGGCGTTCGAATGCGTTCCATTCAGTGTAGCTGAGATGCCACCGTCTTGGGCTTTGCCGAGGTGAGGAGACATGCTTCTAGCACCCCGCACGGATTGGCTTCTGCTAGAGACGTTCGGTGGTTTGATTTCGGATTGCGGATCTTCGTCATCTTCCAACGAAGCAGCGTTGTTGCCATTCAGCCCCCCAAGTTCCTTGAGCCGGCGCTTTTCCCTTTTTCTTCTATCCTCGGCCAGAGCTGCTTTCCTTTCCTGCTCTTGTTTGTTTTGAATGACGGATGACATTGCTGCCGCTGCACCAAGGAAGTTGGGATGATTGGTGTTTATGTAGGCTCGTTGGATTGATATAAGGGACTCCACGTATCCTGAGCAAGGGCCCAAACGTTCACGAAGCAGATCGGATACAACTTCAATCAATTTTGCTTGCAAACGCGGAAAACGCAGCAGCTCCTGTGAACCACATGTATGGCAAATCTTGATAAGCTCTTCATAAACGAGTTCGACGCACCTCTGACTAGGAGCTTCCAGCATCTTGATCTGAGGTTTTACAAGCAAATCGAAGGCAAGTTCCGGGACAAATAGACTCGGGCGAGGGCCAGTTGAATTTCGGATGGCCGTCCTGATATCAGAGACAGTCAGGTTATGAGTGGGATCTATCGTTTCAAGGGAATTGCCGAAAACAGAGTTGAATATATAGTATATTCTAGCGCCACCGCAGAGTTCCTTGGTAGAGATCTCGGAGGAGGTTCCGTCGATCGAAGATATGAACGACGATGCAAAGCGCGTCATCAATTGCAATATCAACGAGCCGCGATGTTCCTTGCCGCTGAACTGCTTGTTGCCATAGCTTGCAAGCTCTTGTTGTGTTTGTCCCATGAGAGTGTTAAGGCGTGCTTTGATATCAGGAAGCCGATCGCGGATGTGGGACATAAGAGTCGTGTTCAAGGTCTTTGCTAAGAATTGAGTGCCGCATCGGTTTGCCATGTTGCGATAAGCAGGATGGTGTCTGAAAAAGTCCAGCTCAGCCTGCAGTGCGTCAGACAATGATTTCCCAGATTGAATATCTTGTTGAGAGCGATTGACGACGCCGATAAAGCCCAGTTTCAGTGGATAGACGCGGCCAGAGAGGATGTCCATGGCATTAGTGCCATGATCCATGAGGTCCAGCTTCGTCAAGACACCGATCGTCCTTCGACCCATGGGATCAACCTGTCGCGCAAGCTTTAAGGCTTCAGAGTTCACAAGGTCGACATTGGCAGGGGATACTGCCAGAATGATGCTGTTAGGCTTGGCTATGTATTCCAGAATCAATGCCCGTGTTTGCTTTTCAATATCCGACGGTTGATCTCCAATTGGTACCTTCGTCAATCCCGGCAAGTCAACCATGGTGAGATTGAGGACATGTGGTGAGAAAATCTTGAGATTTATGGGCTGTCTATTTATGCCCTTGTTGCTCCCGGCTATCCTTGCTGTCTCGGCTTCGATTTCCTGCTTCACGAGAGCAAAGTCATCGAATTTGCGGCCGGGAAGATGGTGGAATTCTGCCCACTCATTTTGTCCCGCAACGCTTGCAGCAGTGTGAGGTATGTGAACTTCGTCACCTTCAGGTCTATCGTGCCGTTCGCTAGGTATATTTATGAGTTGAAGAATCAAGGGTCTTCTTGTCACTATACCGCTTCCTCTCGGCAGAAAATCTCTGCCAACGATGTTTTCAAGAACAGATGACTTTCCGGAAGATTGAGAACCGACAACGACCTGTAGGAAATAGTTGGTTTTCTGTGGTCTAATTGTATGTCGCAGAAGACACAGTAAATAACAGGCCATGGGCGATGTTCACTCACAATCTGGGGTAGATCAAGGGAGTCATTTCCAATGGTGTTGAAGACAAGATCCTGTAGCTTGTTGACGGTGATAAGTAAGTCCTCACTGAGGGCTGCCATGCTTCAATGCAGTGATGAAAGCAAACACTGCTCTTCGAGATGCTTGGGTTTGAGGAGAATCCGCTGAAAGATTTGAAGGGGTCTAACAACATAAATATCGGATGATTAGAGGAATTCTTGTTTGAACCGAGGATATCGAACCTGTTGCGATGTGCGAAAATGCTATGCTAATGCATGACCCAGGTGTATATAGTGTGGTTCTCTTAGAACTATTTGGCTATATTCTGGCAAGTGCAAGTTATAACTTACTCTGTATGTGAATAAACCTGTCACGTGTTATGACTAAGCAATAAGAGCAATATGATATGATGCGGTTTGCTATCGATACCGGCAGTAATGCAGTTACCACCAGCAGAAAACCTTCAAAGGCGAAGTAGAAAGCTTTATTATCATCATTATTGTTGTAGGCAAGAAGTTTTCGTACAGTTTATACTTTTATTGTCTGCTTGTTTTGGCCATTCTGCTGTCCTCTGTACAGACTTCTGAATCTTATAGAAATACTATAGACTGTACGGTGGGAGGAAAGGAGGTTGCACCCCCCCTGTTTGGCTCATGTGCTGCGCTAGCCTATCACCGCCTCCTTGTTTTGTACACCGCATAGTTATCAAAGGGAAGGATTGGCTTCTATAAGGATTCTGCTAGCAGAATTGCGACTGCACTATGCCTAAGAAGGCTAGCGAACGAACTATTGCAGGGGGGTGCAAACTCATTGCCAGGGATTATATAAGGGGACCAATAGTTTTTCTGCTCACTGCTTGTGTCAATATAAATCTGGAGAAATACTTGTAAGCTATGTTTTAGTATTTAATAATCCTTGAAGATCCTAAAAAGGAGAATGTACAAGATGAACTCCCCGATGAATAGACTTAATGGCATTATCTTTCGTCAATAAAGAATCTTTATACTTATAGTGTAAAAAAGATTTCTGGAAACTTTTATTATAGAAAATATTCTAATATCATTACTTTGAGCTCCCTCGGCTGTGTTTCACCTATAAATTTCTACATCCGGTAACATTAGAATTATTGGTGGTTTTAGTGAAAGATGTTAGTTATAATATGTACTAGATAGTACTCTGTGTCAAGATGCGGACTGGGTCGATGGATACTAGCTGGCTAGAATAATAAAAATAAAACTAATTAAGAATTATAGAATAATTTTTTTAATTTTTAATTAGCTACTTTATTAGATTATTTTTAAATTTATAAATAAAATATAGTTTAAAAAGGTACAAACAGAATCAGAGATAAATAAAAATTCAAAAAGATTATATATTATATATAAAACAGTCAGAACAGATAATAGATTATCGAAATGATTAAAATAATATTAATAAATTAAATAAATTAAATAAATTAAATAAATTAAATATTTTAAATAGATTCAATATTTAAAATTTATATTATAATAGTATATTTTTAAAGCTGAGATTTATTAAAATATGAATTATAATTTATTAAAATAATAGTAGTAAAAGTTTTTAATTATTTAATTAATATTTTTGAAATATTATATTAATTTAATTATAAAATTTAAATAAATAATTGATTTTATAATATATATTAAATAAAAACAGCTGCGTTTTCTATAATTTTATATGAAATTAAAATTATTTTTAATTTTTAATTTTTGAAATTTTTTAACTTTTATATATAGCAGCGGCGGTTGGTATTATTTTAATAAAAAATTTTATTAATTAAAATTATTAAATAAATATAAAATATAAAATATATTTTAATATTTGATAGTACAGCTAATCGGTATATATATAAATTAATAATTTTTTAATTTTATATAATTTTAAAATATTTTAATTAAATTTTTTTATTAGATTTTAAGATTTTAATATAATAAATATTTAATTATATTTTTAAATTTTTTTAAATTTTTTAATTAATTTATATTATAAATTAATTTATTTTATACATTAGATTTAAGTAATAATTATTTTTATTTTAAGAAATTTGATAATAATTTATATTTTTATAATAAATTAATCTATATTTCAGACAGCAGGGCTGTTTATAATAAAAACTAATTTAAAATTTATATAAAAATAAAAATCTATAATTTATAAAAAATAGAATAATTTTAATAATATTTAAATAAATTATATTTAAATAAATTATATTTAATATAAATTATATTTAAGTAAATTATATTTAATATAAATTTAATTAATAAAAGCTATTAGCTTTAGTTATTTTATAAATAATTGATATAATATAAAAATATTATTTAAATATAATATTAATTTATTTTATCTGATTATTAGTTTTAAAATAATAAATAGTTAAAAATTTACTAATAATATCTAATTATTATATTAAATATTTTTGAAATTTTTAAAAATAAATTAAAAAATCTTTTATTAAAAAAAATAATTTATATAATTTATATAATTTTTTATATATAGTATTATAACAGTAGTAATATTTATTATTATATAATAAAAAAATTAAAAATTTTATTTTTATTAAATAATTAACAATAATTAGTATAGTATTATAGTTTTATTTTTTTTGATATATATATAATAAAATTTTAGAGATATATTTTTATTAAGCGTATTTAAAAATAAATAATAATTTTAAACTTTTTAATTTAATTTTTTAAAAAAATATAATTTATTATGATATATAATAATTTTTTATTTACTAATTTATATAATAATAAATATTAGATTAACAATATTTTTAAACTAAAAGTTTATAAATATAAGTTTTTTTAAAATATTTAAAAATAGATTTATTTTAAATGAAATATATGAATTTAATCTTAATCTAATTATTATTAAATATTTATAATTAATTTTTTATAAAATAATTTTTTTTTACAGAATGTAAAACTTCTGAATAACAGTTTTTATTAATAACTAAAATTTTTAATATTTTTTAATTTATTTATTTTTTATATATAATAAAGAGCGGCTTTTATATCTTAAATAAAAGTTATAAATTTTATTTATTTTTAAAAATTAAACTTCCAAATTTTAATAGTTAAAACTAATACTTCTGTTTATTTTAAAAAATTATTTTATTTTTTTATTATTTTTATTCTTTAATAAAATCGGAAGTAGTATTAATAAATAAATTAAATTAATATTTTTTTAATTAGAATTATTTAATTTTAATATAATAAATATTTATTTTATTTTAAAAGATGATTTAATCTCTTAATTGAACTATTAGATTTAATTGTATATTCTCTTAATCAATAAATAATTCTAAAATCAAAATAAAATAAAAATTTTAATAATATAACTTATTAATAATTTAATAATTTAAGAAATATAAAATATTTTAGATTACAGTAATCTAATATAATTTACATTTAAAAAATAATTTTTTATTTTAAAATACTATTTTTTTAAATAATAAATAATAGTAAATAATTTTTTATTATAAAAAAAGCTGTATATAGACTATAAAATCTATATAAAAAAAGTAGAATTTATTTTTCATAGTCTACTATATTATTAGACTGTAAAACTGTTTATAAAAATTATAAAATTAATTATTTATTTTATAATTAATTTTGTAATAATTATTTATATTATTAAACTATAAAATTATTTATAAAAACTATAAAATTAATTATTTATTTTATAATTAAATTCTTTAATAGTCGCCTACGCTGCTAAACTATAGAATTATTTATAAAAAATTATAAAATTAATTATTTATTTTATAATTAAATTTTTTAATAGTTGTTTATACTGTTGGACTGTAGAATTATTTATAAAGATAATAAAATTTATTATTGATTTTATTTATATTTAATTTATTGATTTTTGATAACTGTTTATACTACCAGTCTGTAGAAAGAGCTGCAGATATTAAAAATCATTTTTTTAATATAATATTTATTATATTTAAAAATGAAATAATCAATAAAAATAGAATTATAAAAATAAAAAGATTTTATATAATAATTAAAATAAAATCTGTTTATTCTATAACTATTTATACAGTTCGGAATTATTACTATAAAATCTTTATAAAAATATATCCTCTTATATATTGAAAAATTAATACAAAAAAAATTCAATTATATTAAAAAAATAAACTATAAAGTAGTTTTAAATTATTAATTAAAAATATAAAACTATACAGAACTGTAGAAATAAACAGACTGTAAAAAGAATATATAAATATATAATTCTACAAAAGTAGAAACAGACTGTAAAAAATAAAAAAAATAAAAAAGAAATAATTTAAAAAATATATCAATAGTCTGAATAAATAACTATAAAAAATAGATTTAAAAACTATATTAAAAATAATTATTTTAATTAAAAAAATTAATTAAAAATATAATACGGCTTCTGAAGATTCTAGAGTATTTTTTATATAAGAATTATTTTATATTTATATAATTTAATTTTAAATTTAATAAATATATTAAAATTAGATTATATTTTAAGTTTAGTAAAAAACTTGTTTTTTCGGTATAATCTTTCTAATATAATTAGTAATATTCTAAAGATAGATCTAAAAGTCCGATAAATAATAATATTTTCAAAACTTTAAAGATTTTTAAAAAATATAAAGTCATAACTAGATTATTATTTTGAAGTAAAAAGTCTAAAAAACTGTATTTTTATATAATATAAATAGATATATATTATTATAACAGCAACATTATTAATTATTATATTATAAAAATTAAAAACTTTATTCTTATTAAATAATTAATAATAATTTGTATAATATTATAATTTTAATTTTTTAATAAATATATAAAATCTATAAATATATTTTATCAGATTGTTATAGGACCAAGGCCCTGATATAGAGCTCGGCTTCAGGCACCAGTTAGTATCTGAGGCCTTGTATACTACGTATTAAACTAGTACTAGCTTAGTATATATATAAAAGAATTTTATATAAATAGATAAAATAGCTCTTTAATTATTTTTTTATTTAAAAATATATTCCGATTAGTACAATCTATCTGTTTTATAATATTAAAAATAATTTATTAAAAAGTTCTAAACAGAATGCGATTAGATATATAAATAAAAAAAATAAAATATTAAAATATTAAAATAATAAAATAAATAAATTAAAAAGAACTGCAGCTGATTATAGCATCTGCAGTTATATATAATAATATATAATTTTTTTTTATAAAAATTAGTTAGTTTTTATATAAAAATTAATTA